GCAAACATTTGGCGACAAGAAAAGTCAAGTTCTGCAAACTGATTATCGGCAGATAGCACAAACAACACAGATCTTCCTCTCATTGTTGATTAGACGTAATAAACGAGTTAAGGATAAACTGCACTTCTCCCTAACAGCCAAGATGATTTCCAAACCTGCCAACCACCAGGTGGGTTTGGAGATCTAGAATCACAACTGATCCCTACACTACCTCTAGACTACAGAGGAGGAGGAGGAGGAAGAGAAGATTGGATTTATACCCCACCCTTCACTACCTGAAGGAGTCTCAGAGCATCTCACAATCTCCTTTCCCTTCCCCATCCCTTCCCACAACAGAGACCCTGCGAGGTAGGTGGGGCTGAGAGCTCTTTCAAAGACTGCTCTAGAGAGAACTCTGAAACAACTTGTAACTGACCCAAGGTCACACCACCAGCTGCATGCAGAGGAGTGGGGAATCAAACCCGTTTCTCCCAGGTGAGAGTCCGTGCTCCTAACCACTACACCAAACTGGCTCTCAAGAGATCAGTAGCCCTCGAGAAAATGGCTGCTTTGGAAGGTTGACTCTATGGCATTACACCCCACTGAGACCCCTCCCCTCTCTAACCCCAGCCTTCCCAGGCTCCACCCACAAATCCCCAGGAATTCCCCAACCCAGAGTTGGCAACTCAGCCTACAGATGTAATTGCATCCTGTGCCTTGTCGGTGTTGTAAAATAGTCTCTATTTGAAAGAAGAGATTTCTTTGCTTTTAAAAACCTTTATTTCTAAGGGTAAAAGGTACACGGGATTACTACAAATAAACATAACTCTAACAGCTACATTTTCTAAGCTGTCTATAGTCAACACTAACAGAGAGATAATGGAGAATCTGTCCTTCTTCTCGACCCCTAGAAAGGAAGTCACCTGAAAACAAAGAACCAATCTGTATCACAGTAGAAGCTACTTTTCCCGGGCTAATTCCCCATTGGCTCAATGCCAGGTATCCCTTCCAGGTCAGTCTAAACAATAGCAATACTAGGCAAACAAGTTAACCCTATAATAACTGGATTGTCAGACCTTGTAAACACATGCATTTCCAACACCCCTTCTCAAGGTCTAACATGTAAGTCATACATACACATACAAAACATTATTCATTATTCAATTCAACATTTGTACCAATCATATTCAACATTTTACGTAGACGTTCAAATTTCTCTTTGGTCAGTGGCTTAGTCAGAATGTAATTGCATTCTGTGCCTTGTTGGAACTTGTGGGCCGGAGGGCCTCTGGGAGAGGCCATTTCTGATACATGGGTGCCTATGTGCAATGCTGCAGTTTTTGACATGCTAGCTTTATGCCAGTTATGGGGGGCATTCCCAAGATGGCGTGGTTTAGGTAGCCAATTAACTTGTGCCATGTGCCTGGACCTGCCCCTCCGCCCCCACTGGCACAGAGGGTTGTGCTGGCAATACTCCAGTGGGAGATCATGGTGTTGCCCCATTAGCGTATCTAGGAGATACCGCAGGGGTAGAAGCTTGTCAGTTGTCCCCCTCTCAGGATTGCACTATTTATATATTTCTATATTATATTTCTAAATACGGTCTAATAATCTGCTATCTTGTCCGTATGCAAGTGTTAATAATAACTCGACCATTTCCACCATAATCAGTCTTTACAGCAATAATTAACAGATCAAAGAGCCCAAAATGTATTCCATTTTACAAGTCAACTGAGTCCAATAAAAGCTGCCAAATGCATTCCCGACTCCCATCTTCATCAGCAGCTATTGTATAGCATTCAATTCATTATCAGTGCTTCAATTCATCATCTACTGTTTATATTAATGAAAGATCATTCATCTTTCCTTCATACATAAAAGGATTTCCCCCTTTGCTCAAATGGGTCTTTAATATACAAAGTGGGACCAAATGTCATGAATGAATATGGTACTCTTTGATCTGCTTTTGTAGTTGGAATATTACTACCAACTGGGCAGATTTTATTCAGTTTCTGAGGTAATGTTTGTATATTGATACTACAGTAAAGATCATTGATCTATGTATTTTATAGGCATTTTTAAAATTTTTATTAAATGCAAGAACAAAGCAGTACAAGCAGTGATAGAAACTTGAAAAATATAAGCCATCTTGTAAGAAGATCGAATACAACATAAGTAAAATGCCAGAAACAATCATGAAAAAGGTCAGTGATAAGTAGACAAGAGAGTCTCATATATAAGAGGTGATTGTGACCAGGATGTATACTGAGAGGAGACTTAGACTGCTAAGTCTAACATCAGATCTGCTAAGTCTAACATCGAGATGGTGTCAGAGAGTGTAATTAAAGAGTGAGCCACTTATGATAGTGCATATTAGAAGGAAGACGATCCCTGTTTGACATGTATTCCAGGACTGGGAGTATTTTGTAGGCATGAACCTAGATCCGTGTCATTTATATTTGATTTATGAGTACATTAGTTCAATTCTGTGTGACATCAAAGACTCAAGCAGACTTTTTCAGGTACCAAGCTCACGCGTATTTAATGCAGATAACTTATGCTTTAATAGTCCTTAGCCATCTGTGATAAAGTAAGGTTGCCAGGTCCCCCGTGGCCACTAGCAGGAAATGGGAGTCATAGGGTTGCCAGCTCCAGGTTGGGAAACTCCTGGAGATGTGGAGGTGGAGCCTGGGGGAGGACAGGGAACCGAATGGGGCACAATGCCAGAGCCCACCCTCCAAAGCATCAATTTTCTCCAGGGGCACTGATCTCTGTAGCCTGGAGATAAGCTATAATTCCAGGGCATCCCCAGGTCCCACCTGGAGGCTGGCATCCCTAGGCCTGTTTCCCCTGGCCCAAAGGGACGTCCACTTAGTCTCGACCAGGGCCAGGGCTTTTTCTGCCCTGGCCCCAGCCTGGTAGAACATACTCCCTATTGAGATCAGGGCCCTGCGGGATCTCATTCAATTCTACAGGGCCTGCAAGATGGAGCTGTTCTGCCAGGCCTTTGGCTGAGGCAGTGGGTGTCCATACAAGGCCCCTCCCTCGAGGTTGCTGTTACCAGGGGTCGTTTCGTAGAAAAAGAGCTAGGGGAACTCATTAGCATAACTCATTAGCATACGCCACACCCCCTGACATCATCGGAAGGGGAGTGCAAGGAAGCCCCGCAAAGGCCCTCCCTGGCCCCAGGCAGGCAGGGGTGGGGAGAGGCAGGGAGGAAGCAACTTACCCTCCCTCTTCTCCTGCCTCCTCCTGCCTGAATGAGGGCCGGAAGAGGGGTGGCCGGAAGCAGGGGGTGGGGCTTCGTCATGTGCCCCACCCCCCGTACCTCACCCGGGGGAACTGCGATCCCCCCCCCATATGACCTCTGGCTTTTACCCACCCACTGATAACCAGCCACATTTATCTACCTTAACTGGGCCAGAACCTCCTAACAGCAAACTGTGACTACCGTTTATATGTTAAATTTTATTGTATTCATTGAAATTGATGTAACCCGCCCTGAGCGCCCTGTGGGATGGGCGGGATATAAATGTGAATAAATAAATAAATAAATGTTATTTATAGGCAAATAATCCACAGAAGTTCTGAGTGGAGGAAGGTGATACAGGAAGTTTTAAACCACTTACATTTGTGTTTGTGGTCAGTGTAAGAAAGTCATTCTCTGTGCTTGTGTTAAAGTAAAAGGGCTGCCTGTGGTTTGAGAATGGCAGAAGAGTGAATTGTTAGCCTAACTTTGGTTGCCCCATTGCATTGTGGGTTACAATCAGAGTTAACGCTGCAGCGCAGAAAACAAGCTTAACCTTATTAAGAACTAATTTTGAGTCCAGTGGCACCTGTAAGACCAACAAAGGTTTGAGAGCCAGTTTGGTGTAGTGGTTAAGTGCGTAGACTCTAATCTGGGAGAACTGGGTTTAATTCCCCACTCCTCCATTTACAGCTGCTGGATGATCTTGGGCAAGCCGTAGTTCTGATAAGAGCTGTCCTTGAAAAAGAGCAGTTTCTGTCAGAGCTCTCTCAGCCCCACCTACCTCACAGGGTGTCTGTTGTGGGGAGGGGAAGGGAAAGGAGTTTGTAAGCCGCTCTGAGGCTCCTTTGGGTAGTGAAGGGCGGGGTATAAATCCAATCTCTTCAAGGTATGTGCACACATACTTCTTCAGATACAATGAAATAAAATAACAGTTCATATATAGACAGATGTCTCTACATAGGTGAACAGCAAATTAGCACACACCTTAATGAAGATGTTTTGACATATGCAAAGACTAAATAGCAATAACAAACTAAGTTCATTAGTTTGGATTTAATTGGGAAACAGCGAAGTAATAAATATGTCAACATAGGAGATACATGTGCAAAAGTGACTCTGTTGTTATGCTCCATTCGCCTCCTTTCAAGCATGGTGGAATTAACTAACAAAATCCTTTTCTTAGAGGTGGGGTGCAGCATTATGTCAGAGAAATGCATTCCACTATTCATTGCATTACATTCACTACTCCAATATACTATTCCAAAAAAAGAAATACACTAAAACACAGAGGATGTATAGCCCTTCTGGGTGAGAATACATATGTAAGAACAGAATGAGTTTAGCACATGTAAGGAGATAAGAAAGCAATATCCCTGTTAAGTCCTGGGGAGATTTTTGTTCCGAGTAATAACTTGTAATCCAATGTCCCTTTCCGTTCTGTTCTTGAAGTCCCTTTGCCATAAAACTGCGACTTTGAGGTCACCCCTTGAATGTCCCGGAAGGTTGAAGTGTTCTACAAGTTTCTCAGTCTTGTGATTCCTGATGTCAGATCTGTGTCCATCTATCCTCAGGCGGGAAGGTCTTCCTCGGCCACTGATTCCCTACAACAGCAGCAACAAATACGAAACAGAGGGCGGGACCGAGAAACGACGACCACGGTCTAGTCTCGAGGCGCGCGCGGGCTCGCTTGGCCCTTCTGCCCTTTTTCCTCTTTCTCTGTGTGTGCGCGCGCGCATGCCCTGACTATGTTGTTGAAGACGGAAGTGGGCGAGGCCGTTTGGAATTTTGGCGCGAGAGCAGCAGTTAAGGCTTATTGGGTTTGCGCGCGCTTCAGGGGAAGAAAAAAAGAACGTGGGAGACTTAGGTGAGGGGAGACATCCGGGAACTTACCAAGGAGAGCAAGGCGTCCTTGGTGTGGCTGAGAGGACACTGACAAGAGACAGAGGTGAGACGCGCCCCTCTTCGCCTTTCCCTTAAGAGGGAGCGAGTGACGGGGGGGTTGGGGGGAGTATTGACTTTGTTCGTTCTCGTGCCAACCCCGGTGCTTTCTGGGAAAGAACGGGGGGCGGGGGGGTGGGGGGTGGAAGTTCAGCGACAGTGTAGCTGCTCCTTTTCCATCGGAATGCCGCCGCACCGCGCCTAGTCACAAAAAGCGTTATCTTTCCCCACCAGTTCTGCTTGCCTCTAATGACATGGTTTCCCTCCACCGTATTTATTTGTTACATCTTTCGACTTTTAGCCAGAAATTGGCTTTCAGCTTGCGTGTCGGCGCTCCTAATCATAAATGACCATTGAAATTAAAAACTGCAAAGCGTCCCAAAATTTCCGGTATGTTTTCCACGTGGATGTGAAGGGAAGCTTAAAAAAACAAAAACCAACACGTAATTTGTTACTATCATTCCTTTTTTTTTTGCAAACCCCCCCCCCTCAAAGTTGCAAAGAGTCGAATACTAAAGATACAGCATTGAAAGAAATATTAAGGTACAAGGTTAAAAGGGCTTTAAGGTAAAGGTAAAGGTTCCCTTGCTCGAAAGCCAGTCGAGTCCGACTCTAGGGTTGCGGTGCTCATCTCCGTTTCAAAGCCGAAGAGCCAGCGCTGTCCGAAGACGTTTCCGTGGTCATGTGGCCGGCATGACTAAACACCAAGGCGCACGGAACGCTGTGACCTTCCCACCGAAGTGGTCCCTATTTATCTACTTGCAATTTCTTGCTTTCGAACTGCTAGGTTGGCAGGAGCTGGAACTAGAGACGGGAGCTCACTCCGTCTTGCGGCACCCGGGTCTTGAACCGCTGAACTACCGACCTTCCACAGCCTGCAGTTCAGCGTCTTAGCCACTTGACGGAAGCTTTAAAAAGCCCTTATCATAAGAGAAAATGTGTGACCTTTGATCCTAATATCTGTAACATTCTAGTGACTTGTAAATCTGGTTAGACTGTACTGATGTGTATTACTGGGCTTTTGGGGGGGGAGGGCTTGGCTATTACTCATGTTTAGGATAACATCTTTATTTTGAAGTCTGGGTTTTATCTTCTGGATCTGTATATGCAATTATTAACTGTATTAGAATTTAGTTACCTATCAATATGTCCCGGCTAGCCTGATCTTAGAAGCCAAGCAGGATCCGCCCTGGTTAATATTTGGATGGGAAGGTCCAGGGTGGCTGCTCCGTGGCAAGACCTCTGAACATCTTTTGCCTTGAAAACCCTGTGGGGTTGCCGTCAGTTGGCTGTGACTTGACAACAAATAAATGCATTAGGCGAGCAGTGGTTAAGACGCTGAACTGCAGGCTGTGGAAGGTCGGTAGTTCAGCAGTTCGAGACCCGAGTGTGCTGAGTGGGCTCCCGTCTCTAGTTCCAGCTCCTGCCAACCTAGCAGTTCGAAAGCAAGAAATTGCAAGTAGATAAATAGGTACCACTTCAGTGGGAAGGTAACAGCATTCCGTGCGCCTTGGTTTTTAGTCATGCCGGCCACATGACCATGGAAACGTCTTCGGACAGCACTGGCTCTTCGGCTTTGAAACGGAGATGAGCACCGCAACCCTAGAGTCGGATTCGACTGGCTTTCGAGCAAGGGGACCTTTACCTAGCTATAGATAGCATAACCCTTCGCTTTGAGGTTGGGACTCTAATTGCGCTGAATTATTGCTTGTGTGGCAGTTATCCCCTGGCATCCCCCATGCATGCGCACATTATTATTAATATTAACTTCCTGTCCCCAGTTATCCTGTCCCCAGTTATCCTGTCAGTTATCCTGTCCCCAGTTATCCTGTCAGCACCATTTTAAAAACCTGGAAGCTGTTGATTCTTTGCAACAGATTGCAAGTGGACAGCATGTGGAGGGACAGCGTGGTACAATGGTTAGAGTGCCAGACTTGGATCTGGGAGACCCAGTTCGAACCCATACGTTGCAGTAGATGTTTGCTAGGTGACCTTGCCCAGTCAGCCTAACCTACTTCATGGGGTTGTTCTAAAAAGCTATGTGAGTTTCTTGATAGAAAGAGAATAATTTTGGATCATGTCTTATTTTATAAACTGTATGTACTTAGATCCCTTTTTTAACAGACACACACAGAGAAACTAACGCAAGTCATGAATTTCTGATGTCCTCTGAAAATTCCATGTAGTTTTCTGTTGCTGCTTTTCTTCTTTCTGTGACTTTGCTGACTGCTTCATTTGCTTTTGTTTGGAGTGCCTCCAGCAGATCTGATTCCAGTCCTGTCAGTTTCCTCTGAATGTCATGGGTCTTATCAGGAATCACAAAGGCCATTAGAAACTGCATCACTGCCATTGATGGCTCTACGACAATTGCAGCAGATGGATTAAATGCATCTTACCTCAGATGCTCCCCAAATGGCTGGTGTCTGGAGACTGGAGACTGCAGGTTATTGCAGTTCTTAAGACGGGAGTTCTAGTGTCTGGGTAGATTCACGATGACTTGTAGAAGCCTTAAATTTGTATTCACAAAAAAAATAAATATCCCTTCTGCAAATAAACATAAGTGACTCATACTGGGTTAAAACTTATTCATGCAGTCACAGTTGGAAACTACACATAAAGATCCCCTTGGTGATTTCACAAATGGTACTTTTGAGTTCCACTGTACAACTTGTGCTTGTTTCAGAAGAAAGACTTATTTGAAACTGATGATTGTTATATGTATACATTCATTCTGTTTACAAACTGGAGAAATTTGCTGAGTTTAATTTGTGGGGCAGTCCTTTTACCCAAACCTCTTGCCTCGAGTTATTAGTCATCACAAGCTTCCATGAGGATTCTGTTTCTGTTCCTAGTACTTTAGATGGGCGCTCGTGCCATCCTCTTGAAGGCGCCAGCCTGAAAATACTTCTCATTTTATACTTGCATCCTACCCCCCCCCCCCTCCATCCCTCCCTTTCACAATGGCAATTGAACATTAAGAGTGCTTGGTAGTCCAGCATGACAACTGTTTTCTATGTAGTAAAGGTAAAGGTTCCCTTGCTCGAAAGCCAGTCGAATCCAACTCTAGGGTTGTGGTGCTCATCTCCCGTTTCAAAGCCGAAGAGTCAGCGCTGTCCGAAGACGTTTCCGTGGCCATGTGGCCGGCATGACTAAACACCGAGGCGCACGAAACGCTGTTACCTTCCCACCGGACCGGAAGGCCTGGAGGGAGCTGGTCCATGGGGTCGCAAAGAGTCGGACTCGACTGTGCGACTGAACAACAACAAAAACTATAGATAGCATAACCCTTCGCTTTGAGGTTGGGACTGAATTATTGCTCTGAATTATTGCTGGTGTGGCAGTTATCCCCTGGCATCCCCCATGCATGCGCACATTATTATTAATATTAACTTCCTGTCCCCAGTTATCCTGTCCCCAGTTATCCTGTCAGTTATCCTGTCCCCAGTTATCCTGTCAGCACCATTTTAAAAACCTGGAAGCTGTTGATTCTTTGCAACAGATTGCAAGTGGACAGCATGTGGAGGGACAGCATGGTACAATGGTTAGAGTGCCAGACTTGGATCTGGGAGACCCAGTTCGAACCCATACGTTGCAGTAGATGTTTGCTAGGTGACCTTGCCCAGTCAGCCTAACCTACTTCATGGGGTTGTTCTAAGGATAAGTGACTTCCGGTCCCCCTTGGGGAGAAAAGCTGTGTGAGTTTCTTGATAGAAAGAGAGTAATTTTGGATCATGTCTTATTTTATAAACTGTATGTACTTAGATCCCTTTTTTAACAGACACACACAGAGAAACTAACGCAAGTCATGAATTTCTGATGTCCTCTGAAAATTCCATGTAGTTTTCTGTTGCTGCTTTTCTTCTTTCTGTGACTTTGCTGACTGCTTCATTTGCTTTTGTTTGGAGTGCCTCCAGCAGATCTGATTCCAGTCCTGTCAGTTTCCTCTGAATGTCATGGGTCTTATCAGGAATCACAAAGGCCATTAGAAACTGCATCACTGCCATTGATGGCTCTACGACAATTGCAGCAGATGGATTAAATGCATCTTACCTCAGATGCTCCCCAAATGGCTGGTGTCTGGAGACTGGAGACTGCAGGTTATTGCAGTTCTTAAGACGGGAGTTCTAGTGTCTGGGTAGATTCACGATGACTTGTAGAAGCCTTAAATTTGTATTCACAAAAAAAATAAATATCCCTTCTGCAAATAAACATAAGTGACTCATACTGGGTTAAAACTTATTCATGCAGTCACAGTTGGAAACTACACATAAAGATCCCCTTGGTGATTTCACAAATGGTACTTTTGAGTTCCACTGTACAACTTGTGCTTGTTTCAGAAGAAAGACTTATTTGAAACTGATGATTGTTATATGTATACATTCATTCTGTTTACAAACTGGAGAAATTTGCTGAGTTTAATTTGTGGGGCAGTCCTTTTACCCAAACCTCTTGCCTCGAGTTATTAGTCATCACAAGCTTCCATGAGGATTCTGTTTCTGTTCCTAGTACTTTAGATGGGCGCTCGTGCCATCCTCTTGAAGGCGCCAGCCTGAAAATACTTCTCATTTTATACTTGCATCCTACTCCCCCCCATCCATCCCTCTTTTTCACAATGGCAATTGAACATTAAGAGTGCTTGGTAGTCCAGCATGACAACTGTTTTCTATGTAGTAAAGGTAAAGGTTTCCCTTGCTTGAAAGCCAGTCGAATCCGACTCTAGGGTTGCGGTGCTCATCTCCGTTTCCAAGCCGAAGAGCCGGCACTGTCCGAAGACTTTTCTGTGGTCATGTGGCCAGCATGACTAAACACCAAGGCGCACGAAACGCTGTTACCTCCCCACCGAAGTGGTACCTATTTATCTACTTGCAATGTCTTGCTTTCGAACTGCTAGGTTGGCAGGAGCTGGAACTAGAGACGGGAGCTCACTCCGTCATGCGGCACTCGGGTCTCGAACTGCTGAACTACTGACCTTCCACAGCCTGCAGTTCAGCGTCTTAACCACTTGAGCCACCACAGCTCCTTTTCTATGTAGACAGGTCTGTTAATAAAGGAAGTTATTGTGTACTAGGATCTAGGTGATCCAGGTTCAAATCCCACCTTTGCCAGAGAATCTAATTGGGTAACCTTGGGCCACTCATATGTTCTCAAACAGACCTACCCTACCTCACAGAGTTGTGAAGGTTAAATTAAGGAGAGAAGAACAACATAAGCTGCTTTAGGTCCCTACTGGGAAGCAAGATGGGGTATGATGCCTGTTTTAAATCTAGTATTGGCTGCTGCTCACAAAAAAGGACAATTGCTCTGGCTGTTGCTTCATGAGGTATCGTTTCAGGTCTTTCGTCAGGGGGCAGAATGGCTCATTCAGTATTCATACTGCTGTTAAATATTGTGAGCACAGTCAGCTGTGGGGTTGGTGAATGGAGCAGTGGGAGTGGAGCTCCTAGTTGGAAATAGCATTGCAGGTGGCTTCTGGAGATAACCCAGGTCAGAATGTTCTGATTCCCTTTGGGTTTTGAGGGTCCTAGTTTTGTTTTTGGGTGAGGTATGCCTGCCAGAGACAACCATAGCTTCCAGTGCAAAAAGCAGAGTGTGCGGGTCAGGAAGTTCCAATTCCTTTCATGTTTGGCACTCAGTTCCCATGATCATTCTAATACAATGGCCAGTTTTGAGATGCCTACCTTTATTTTCCGAGTATTTATGCCTGCCACAGACAGTCAGATCCTTTTATTATTACAAACCCCCAATGACTAAAATTCTGCTCTTTCCTTGCAGCACCTCCCTGTGGTGGAACCCATCATGCCAGTAGCTCTGGACAGTGCAGGGGCAGAGTCCCAGCTGAGTCATACTCCTCTGCCAGTGCCTGCCTTCTTCCACGAAGCCAAACGCAGCTTTTCAATCAAGAAGGCCCATCGGCCACTTAGCTACACCCTTCCTTCACGGCCACGCCACAAGAGCACGCTAACCGTGAGCCGAGTTTTTTCTGACCGCCGGCTTCAGCCATGGACCCAGCCCCACCCACGCAGCGTGTCCTTTGATGGAGCACAGAGGCAGCCACCGTCTCTGCACAGCCGCCCCTATGATGCTTCCAAGAAAGAGCTGTTTTTCAGGCAGTGCTTTCAACAGCTGAGCCGTCTAGGGCGGGGATCATTCGGTGAAGTATACAAGGTAAGATGGTGGTGGAGGCACCACTAGTCTCTGGACGTGAAAGGCTGTCTTCTTTCAGAGCCTGAGGGTCTCTTAGGACCTAGTAAAGGGGAGTAGTGCAGAAACACTAAAAGTAGACATTGGGAGGTAGAGAGTAAGGGCTGATTGAATTCTGGACTATCTCCCTGGAAACCCTTTTCCATTTTGCAAGCGGTGTGTGTAAGCATGCATGTAATATTTAGAAAATGGTTGGTTTCCATGGGTAGAGCTGTGAGTCGCTACATAAAATATGCACACCTCCTATTTGTATTAATTTATTCTCTGTATAATCGAATTGGTAGTAGATTCAGGACAGATACAAAAAAAAAAAGAATTTCCTGTATTGTCTAATTATCTTAAGACAGATTGGCCACCGTGAGATATGGTAATGGGCATGGGCTTAGATGACAGCAAAGGGGGATTTGGTGAATGTATGAAGGATGGATCTGTAAACAGTTGGTAGCTGTTGTGCCTAAAGGGAACTTCCATGTTCCAAGGCAGTATATTTCTGAAGGCCAGTTGCTGGATAAAAAGCAGCGTGGGAAGGCTGTTGACTTGATGCCTTACAAGTAGGTTTTCTGAGATCATCTACTTGGCCACTGCCGGAGCAAGAAAAGAAGGGCTGCAGCAAGCACGGTACTGAAAACAAAAACAGACAGTTGGTGCTATGAGAGAATTCCCACTGCTTTGTTCAGAATATGATATTTACAGATCCTCCTGATGAAGTGTATGTGAAACTTACAGGGGTCTAACGGGGGGGGGATTCTCCCACTGCATCAGTTGTCTATTATTTTTGGCCATTACTGCTAACCGGTTACATGGACCCTTGGTAATACACAGCAAGACTCTTCTTAATTTTTTCCTTGAGGTTATTTTTCTTTTATATATCTTCCTGTAAAATTGTGTGCTTTTCAGCTAGAAGAGCACTAAAGTGAAATGTCTTCCATACCCAATCCCCCACTGTGTGTGACACACGCTCTTAACTTTTGCTGATTTTAAAGGCTTCTGCAAGTTTCAGATTAAACCGAATAGCATATGCTTTCCATAATTTTTTTTTTAATTTGCACAACATGTGATGAGCATAACTTTTTGGCGTAGAGTCTGGATCTTCTTGACCCAGCATCCTACCAGCCCTGTCTGGGAAGTTCGGATTCCTGGATAGTATCCCAGGGTGAGGTTTCCAGAACGGCCTGGGGCCCTTTTAGCATCTGGAACTTGATAAGCTCTTTCCTGTCCTATTCTATCTTTTACAGGTGCGCTGTAAGGAGGATGGGCAGTTGTATGCAGTGAAGCGTTCTGTGGAGCCGTTCCGAGGCGAGGGTGACAGACAGCGCAAATTGGCCGAGGTGCGCAAGCATGAACGTGTGGGACATCATCCCAACTGCGTGAGCTTCGTGCAGGCCTGGGAGGAGCGTGGGCAGCTTTACATCCAGACAGAACTGTGCCCAGGCAGCCTGCTGCAGTACTGTGAGCAGCATGGGCCACTACCTGAATGGCAAGTGCAGGCCTTCCTCTGGGACCTGCTGCAGGGACTGCGTCACTTACACAGTCGCAACCTCTTACACATGGACGTCAAGCCGGCGAATATCTTCCTCTCCTCTAACAACGTCTGTAAGCTGGGCGACTTTGGGCTGATGCTGGAGCTGGACTTCGGGGATCTGAATGATGCTCAAGAAGGGGACCCTCGCTACATGGCCCCCGAGTTGCTGCGAGGAGAGTATACCAAGGCTGCTGATGTCTTCAGGTACTGTCTGAGATGGGCAGGAGGGCCATAAATTCCCTCATGCCCAAGAAGACTACCAGCCTCTTGCTTGCTTGCCTTTGCTCCCCTGCCTCAAACTTCAGCTTGCATTTGGAGATCGGTAGCACTTTTGGGTTTTTGATCAGGGTGTTTTTGTCCCCTCAGCCTCGGCATGACCATTTTGGAGATTGCCTGTAATATGGAGCTCCCCAACGGAGGGGAAGCTTGGCAGCAGTTGCGACAGGGCTACCTGCCTCCTGAGTTCACAGCAGGTGAGTGGGGACAAGGGAGAGGGACATCTGTGTCATATTTGCCCCTGTAGGGACCCTCCTGCCAGTCCGCATGTGAAGTGGGTAGACCCGACGTGGCTTTGGAAGCTAGAAGGATCTAGAGAAATGGTTGGTGCAAATGAAGGATTCAGCCTCTTTTCCAGAAAATTTGGGCAGGCCACTGACTGTCCTTGCTCTTTCCAGGTCTCTCTGGTGAACTGCAGACTCTCTTGGCAGCCATGCTGGAACCCAACCATCAGCTGCGGCCCTCCGTGGAGGCCCTGCTTAGTTCTACCCTCATGCAGAAGGCTGAGAGGCGGCGGAAGCTGATGCTGCTGGTGCAGTCTGGGATCCAACAAGGAGTTGCCATATGCCAGGTGAGCCTGGGCCTTGCTAGAGGGAGCCCTGCTGGATCAGGCCAGTGGGCCATCTAATCCAGCGTCCTGTCTCCGCCATAGAGTTTGCCGTTCACAATGTGAACTCACTGTTCCTGTGGAGTGCATTGGCCCTATTGCACTATTCTAGAACGTAAGAGCCCTGCTGGATCAGACCAGTGGGCCATCTAATCCAGTGTCCTGTCTCCGCCATAGAGTTTGCCGTTTTCACTGCTGCAACACACTAGGTTGACACTTTCACTGAGCTATCTCCTATGAACCCCAAATCTACCCCCACCCTCAGTCTTGGCAAGTTCAGACCCCATTAGTTTATAGTGGAAGCTGGGATTTTTTGCTCCAGTATTCGTCACCTTACCTTAGGGGTCCCCAGCCTTTCTGAGCCTGCAGCCGCCTTTGGAATTCTGACACAGTGTAGTGGGCGGAGCCACAAAATGGCTGCTGCAGCGTACCTTTAGTCACACAGTGCAGACCTTTGTGCCATGGTGGCAGCGTTTTAAAAACCTGCAGAGACTATCAAAATCTCCAGTGGCCAATCAGAAGCCTTGCTGGGCAAAAGCCCCACTTGCCCCCACCCACATCCTAAGAACTCTTTGCGGCTGGGCACCAGAAAAGGTGTCAGTGGGCACCATGGCACCCACAGGCACCGTGCCGGGGGCTCCTGCCTTACACTTACCAGGGCTATTTTTGGGCAGGAACGCAGTTGGCCACACCCAGCAGGAACTCATTAGCATAATAGGCCACACCCAACAGCAGAAACTCACTAGGATTGGCTACATTAGGGGTGTGTGGCCTAACATGCAAAGGAGTTCCTGCTACAAAAAAAGGCCCTGGGTTTTGACAACAGACAAGGTAAACAGAATAAGGAGCAAAAGGTGGGTGTGGCTGGATAACCACACTTCTGGTAACATGGGTGTGCGTCCTAATGGGCTAATGAGTTGTGCTGGCAGGGGCGTGGCCTAATATGCTAATGAGTTTCTGCTGTTGGGTGTGACCTATTATGCTAATAAGTTTCTGCTGGGCTTTTTCTACAAAAAACCCCTCTGACACTTACCAACACTGAACTTCTTTTGCCACATTGTTGCCCGCTCACCCAATTTGTGGAGATTCTCCTGGAGCTCTTCAGTCATCCTTGTTTTTCACCATCCTGTATAATTTTATGACATCTGCAAACCTGACCACGACACCACTCACCCCTTGTTCCCAATCATTTGTGAACAAATTAAATAGTACTGGCCCCAGTACTGATCCTTGTGGGACTCCACTGCTTACTTCCCTCCATTGTGAGAATTGTCCATTTATCGCTACTATTTGCTTCCTGTCATTTAACCAGTTTTTTTAATTCATGAGAGTCTGCTAAGTTTACTCCGGAGTCTTTGGTGAGATACTTTGTCTAAACCCTTTTGAAAATCCAGGTATGTAATGTCTGTTGGGTCACCGTTTATCTACATGCTTGTTCGCTAAAAGACCACCAGAAGGTTGGTGAGGCAAGGCTTCCCTTTGCAGAAGCCATGCTGATTTTCCCTCAGCAGACTTTGATCTTCTATGGCATCTTGTTCCTTGAACTGGGCCAAGGCCTTGCAGCCACCCTTACTTAATCCCAGCTAAAGGTTCCTTTCTAGAAGTTAAGAGACCCTTGTCTTGTGAACTGACCTTACCAAACCACTTTGTGTTGCTGAGCATGAATGCCTCCATGTGTCATACTCTTCTTGCCATCCTGGAATTGCTTTCTTTTGGGTAATTTCTCTTGCTAGGAAGTGCCACGATTCATACTCTCTCACAGTGTGCTATTAGAGCTCGTCCCTCTCCCTGAGGTATCGGAGGCATCATTGTGAGCCTCAACTTGTAACTCGGGGCCATTTGCTCTGCTCCACCTTGTTGCTTCTTTCCTCAGGACTCAGTGTGTGATGTGTTTTTCTCCCTCCCAGACCCTTGTCAGGTTTGTACAGTGGCTCTGGGGGACTGTGTGCAGCCCAGCTCACTGGCTACTGTTTTGGCATCAGGACGTGCCAGTCACACCTCCCCACTCGCCCTTCCCTTTCCCCCTGGAAGACAGCAGCCTCTCCAGTGACTGGGGTGAAGAGCGAGGTGAAGGGGAAGACGATGAGAGCCTTGGTCAGGAAGTCTTTGAGCTAACGAAGGGATCTGGACATCACAACCATACTTGTTCTGTGGAGCTGTGGCCGGCTGACAAGTAAGTGGGGCAGACTCAGCATGGGAGAAACCACATTCAGATAGCTAAAGCAAGCTGTCCTTTTACTTGGAGAAACAAATGTGCCTACTGAAACACCCCAGGACCACCAGCCAGTCTGTCGTGGAGAGGATTATTTCCTGATCTGACGTCTGATATAACGTGAAGCTAAATTACCCTTCAGTCCATTCCACTTTGGGAAAATCCTTCATTCCTTAGTATGTATCCATGCTATATCCTCCCCTAGATCTAGCTGTTACAATCTCTGAGGGGAGAGTGAATACCAATTCTTCCTGACCACAATTTATGGCACTCATCAAGTATGTTTTGCTCATGAGACCATTTTGTTCCAGAATTTCTGTCCCTGATGGCATACCACGGAATCATTAACCTCTAGAATGTCTTATCCACAAAGAAAAATCCAGTTGCAAGTGTCTTCTATATGAGTACTGTTGCACCATATACAATAGTGTGTGGGCACAGACCTGAATTCTAAGTAATGTGTGTGTGTGTTAATCTTCATCCTGCATTTTTAACCATTAGGTAGCAGGTCAACTGTCAGTTCCTGCATCCCCAATTGTCTTTAACTTTCTGGCGCTTTCTCATTTTAATCTGTTCTTATAGCACATGGTGTCATTACATTGGAATAATTTTTTTAAAAAAACATTGCTGTATGTATGTTGGAATGATGATGTTAAGAAGGGAATGAAAGCTCCACTCTTTTTGCTCCCCAGGGTTTGAATCAAGTCCCCTGCCAAGTCAAATCATTCTTCTCTGTGCCTGAATTCCTTCTTGAATGTGGGTGACCAAAATGACTCACTAGTCTTCCTTAATGATAGTTCCCACTTATGCAGGTGTAACTTTGTAAGAGCTGCTGAGTGCGGCTTTTGAAAGGGAGGGGAACAAGTGTCTGGCCAGCTTCCCATGGCAAAGGGAGGGAGCGCAGGGTGTGTGTTTGTGCAGGCATAGCTAGTTCTAATATTGAAAACCAGCCTGGACTCTCCACCCTCTTCTCCATCATACTTCTGTCTCAGGAGATCGAATGCGACAGCGAGCAAACAGATACCTCAAGGTGGCTCCTTTTCTTGCAGAATGCCTGGCTCCCCAGCGCTGAACATATGCCCCAGTGTGGGAAGCACCTCTACCCCACGACACCCCTCACCCCAGCAGAATGGTGACAGAGAAAACAGGTGAGCTTTTGGGGGTACCGGGAGGCAACAAAACACTCCTGGATTCTTTCGCACAGCTCTGCATGCAAGCAGAAGATGGGAAGCTGTGCCCAGGCTTGTTGATGACTCAGGCTGTAATTGTGGCACTGGGCTCATTTATCCTCATGGAGATGTGTCCTCCCCGACACTGTATAAGAACACGTCCTGCTCTCTGAGGTGTTGCCAGCTCCCTTTGCTGTGGAGTTGTGGCGGGGTAGGTTGGTCCTCTATGCCAAGGCAAAGCTCATTTGGAGATCTCGGTAGGGGCTAGCCGATGCCAGGTTTCATTGCCTGCCTTTTATTGTGTCTCTCCAAGGTCTCTGGCCCTCCAGGGGAGCCCTAACCTCAGCCGTATCAGCCATGAGTCCCCGATCAGCAGCCACAGTTCATCAGACTCCCTGCCCGTGAGCAGCCTGCGCCGCACGCTAGCTTTTGACGATGAGGATGACAAGGTGGGGAGAGACCAGTGGGAAGCTGCTCTCGCTCAGTGTTCAGATCAGTATTCCGCTTTTGAGCCGAAAAACCTGCTCAACATGTTTGAGGACTCTGTGGCGGCTGAGCAGAAGTGCCAGGGTTGATGGGGACTTCGTTTCATTTCAGAATGGTCTGCTTAGCACTCCAGTGGCTGAATGGAGGAGCGCAGTCCCTCAGGTGGATACACACAGCTGGTGGGCTCTAGCATCCAGCTCAGTCTAGTAAAGGGGAAGGCAGGCAGGCCCCTCCAGGGACGCTTCCCCACACATTGTTGTTCCCGCTGTGCAGTTTCTTACCTTCAGGGGGGTCGAGATCATATAGGCATCCTTCCACAGGCAGTGGAGAGTGAGATGCCCTGTCAGGTCATTTGAGGAAAAAGGGGCTTGCTTTTAGGTAGGGGTGAGGGATGTGATGCACCTGTGTACTTTTTAAGCTGCCTGTCCCTTCCGCTCCAGGGCTGTGAGGCAGGAATGTATCGCCTGCTGTGAGAAATGGGGGCTGTCAAGCACCTCGCTTTCCTGCTGGGGTTTTACAAAGGTGTCAGCTCTCTAAGACTTCGTAATAAACGCATTTTGAAATGACCATAAAACAGTGTGCTACTTCTAAGGACTGACTTGATTATAACCCATTATTGAACTGAGAGACTTGGTTATTCAAAGCAAAGTAAAACCATACTATACCACAAGGTATAGATACGGACTCTGGGGCAAGTGATACTCTGTCTTCTTGGTGCTTGGGGGGGGGGTCAACAGTGGGAGGATTGAGTTGATAACCCTGTGAAACAGGCACCATTTCATCCAACTACAGTTTCCAGCTCTTACTACAGACCAGTGTTCTGGGTCTCTCCATTCATTCGTTACCTGCAATATACTGCAGTTAAAGCAGATTACCTATTTTAGCCTTAGGGAGGAGAAAACATTACCAGTCTTGATACTGAGTTATGACTGTCTCCAATCTAATCATATTAATCCCACTTTTCCATTTTACAGTGTGATCCTAGGCAGTTACTTCTGTCTAAATCCACTGAAGGCTCAGCATGGGTTCTGTAGAGGAAGATCTTGTCTCACTAACCTGTTAGTGTTCTTTGAGGGGGTGAACAAACATTTGGACAAGGGGGACCCAACGGATATTGTTTACCTTGACTTCCAGAAAGCTTTTGATAAAGTTCCTCATCAAAGGCTCCTAAGTAAGCTCAAAAATCACGGGATAAAAGGGCAAGTCCTTTTGTGGATCAAAAACTGGCTAATTAATAGGAAACAGAGAGTGAGTATAAATGGGAAATTTTCTCAGTGGAGGGTGGTAAGCAGTGGGGTACCACAGGGATCAGTACTCAGTCCGATGCTTTTTAACATTATTTGGAGTTGGGAGTAAGCAGTGAAGTGGCTAAATCTGCAGATGATACGAAGTTGTTCAGGGTAGTGAAAAGCAGGGGGGATTGTGAGGCACTCCAAAGGGATCTATCGAGGATGGGCCAGTGGGCGTCAACGTGGTAAATGAGGTTCAATGTGGCCAAATGCAAAGTGATGCACATTGGAGCCAAAAATCCTAACTATAAATATACGGTGATGGGGTCCAAACTGGCAGAG